TGACTCTTATTTTGATTGGAAAAATAATTAAAAACTACCTATTTCAATAATTAATTTTTACCTATAGGCAATAGTTAAAAATTAACTTTTGCCTAGAAATAGGCTATATTTACCTATAGGTTATAAATTGCCTATTTGGAGCCTTGGGGTTTTTTAAATCAGAACTCTTACAGACCTTGAACTCCGAGGACGGAGCCTTGGACTGATGGGGCGCCCGTGATTTTTCAAATCAAAACTCTGACAGACCTTGAACTCCGAGGACGGAGCCTTGGACGATCGGGCGCCCCTGATTTTCAAATCAGAACTCTTACAGACCGTCAACTCCGAGGACGGAGCCTTGGATTGATGGGGCGCCCCTGCTTTCGAAATCAGAACTCTTACAGACCCTGAACTCCGAGGACGGAGCCTTGGACTGATGGGGCGCCCCTGATGGTTTGGCGGGTTTTACGGGTTTAGCGGGTATGTAAATGACCTTGAACTCCAGGAAGAAGGGAGTGATGAGCTCACCTGCGGGTTTATCGGCTTTTACGGGCTTGGCGGGTTTAGCGGGTTTAGAGGGTTTTACGGGTTTAGCGGGTTTTGCGGGCTTATCGGGCTTTGCGGGTTTTGCGGGTTTAGCGGATTTCGCGGGTTTTGCGCGTTTATCGGGTTTTGCAGGTTTAGCAGAGCATGGTCCCTGTTTGCGCGCGCAATGGAAATAACCCTTCTCAGCAAACTCATGATGGGCTGTCGCAAGGCATTGTAGGTTTCAGGGAGAAACCACCGAAACGAACAACCATAAGTGTATGCTTTCGCAACAAGGCTGTCATATGGGTGACTTCAACCAGAACCGAGGCCGCGGGCAAATCGGACGAGGTCATCATCATCGTCCATGATGCCGGGCGGTGCATCATGTGCACGTCCCAAGTTGATTCTCTCGCTGTGGTTACAACTCTTTCTGCATATAGTAGCAATCCCAATTACTAGGTTGCTAGACAAATGTTTGTCTTTGTTTGTTTGGGTTTTGGATGTTGGCTATTTGCTCCCTCTTCCTCTATATCTCTGCATGGGATGGCGCCGGAATTTGCCATGCATGAGCCTACGATTTAAGAACGATTTCCGGTTTCAGCTTCTACTAACATCACGAACATCCAGGACTTCAGGGCTCTTCTGGAGAGCCAAGCTGCGGTGCACAAAGACACGCAGTGCTCCATTTACAACACGGCAGGTTACTCTTGGACAGTCAGCTTTCCAGACGCTAGCAAGTGAACAATCATCTGTGGCTATCGAAAAAGTCAAACATGTACGAGTGAAGGTTTAATCTCCTGGGTAAGTCCTAGATGACCACAGCACGTCAAGCTCCGCACGAAAAGAAATCGGGCGAAATCTCGAGATCCTCCTCTAAGAAGATCACCTGCTCACTCGCAGTTGGCTCTGCTTACACCAAACCGCAAGTCAATCTGATCAGCAACTCGCGGCAATGCCAGAAATGCGGAACTGAGGCTGCTTCAACCGACAGTCACAGGGAGCCAAATGTACTGAGATCTGCACCGCCTCGAAACCAAACTCGTCGAACATCCTGCATTCGCGAAACACGGCTGTACAGGATTTTGTTTCAGCAGGCAAGTCTGGCAAGCGATGGACCGGCCTCCGCATAACGAAACCAAAATGTTGAGCGATGCGTACATAGCCGATGGCCTTTTTGCCACCGTACCTCGAAAGGGTGAAGCATGAATGTAGGAAGTTGCATGCAACACAGTAAGCAGGATCATGAGGATTTTCGGCTCGACTGCTCCCAACCTTCACAAGACAATATCTACAAGCCATTCTTCCTTTTGTTTCTTCCTTTTTTGCTTCCCCTCGAGCATTTGTTGATACAGATGGACTTACAATCTGATCCTGCTCGCAGTAGAATAGCAACGGCATCAGAGCCAGGCATACTGGCTTGTGGTTCACTGCCTGACAGGTTGCTTTCCCCGGCATTAACTGATGTGAATGTATGCTTTGCCTGCTACCGCAGACTAGCAAACGGACCCCACACGAAAGAGAAGCACCAGGAGCTGCTCAGGTTATGGTTGGGATTGCCAAAGCCAAAAGTAGCCAAAGCGCTGTAACGGGCCGAAAAATGCCTGCGGTGCGTTGTCCTTATCGGGCGAATCTGCAAAGCAGGTGCTCTCCATGTCAAAGCTGGAGCCCTTTTTCGCCGATGTTGCCCACGTCTTTACCCAGCTTCAATCGATTGGGGCACTTTGTGGCAATCGCTGGAGCATTGGGGTCGTGCTCATGATGCATATGATATGCCTGCGGGCAAGCTTCGACTAGGGGCCAGCAGGGGCAAGACGAAGGGAACAATCAAGCATCTCCAAAATCTTTCGTGCAAGTGATTGGCTTCACAGAACAAAATTTACGCTCCACCTGGGCTGCTGCATGCGTGCTGCTTGCACCAACATCGACAATCACTTGACCGTGGGGGAGCATGACGAGCAATGCCACCCTTTCACGTGGAACCCCATTCTTGTGGGTCAGCGAGCCGAAATTATGCAGGCCTGGCCCGGCCTGGCCCGTCTTCACGAAGCTTCGCTGCACCAACTGGCGCATGAAACCATGAAGCTGCCAGTTCGCTCGAACAGGCAATTCCCCAAAGCTGAACCGGGAATTTCAACCACCATGAAACGCATCCAGCAAGGTCTAACGAAGGCACGCACACATACGAGCAGGGCTTAGAATGCTCGGAGAACGGCTCGCGAGCACTGATTCTCTTTCTGCAGTCTTCGGATTATACTCTCGAAGTGATTCTATGCAATTTGAGGCCTCTTGCATGGCCGCATCATTGGCATCCTGCAGCAATGTTTGGACTTAAAGAAATTAAGGGGTTTTGGGGCCTTGTCAGCAGTGGGTTTGGGACGAAATTTTTCGCGCACTAAGAGGCACTTTGCTGAAGCATCGAACTTTGCACAAATATGCCCCTTCTTACATAATCCTCTCAAGACATCGGAAGAATGTTATGTTCCGAAAGTGCAGACCCCAGATAGGTGATCAAAGAGCCGCTATTCACGTTACCGAGGCGTTACCCACAGCTTCCGGCCACGAGCACAGCCTGCGAGATGACCAAAGGGAACTTTGCCGGGTCACGCTGCGCGCGGAGCACGGAGTCCATCGTCTGGCAAAACCGTGTATCACGGTGTATCGTGTAAGATCAACTAAGATAACGAACTTGCTCTAGGGTTCTTTTTGTGGGGTTGCGACGGAAGAAGGTGACTAGGACTCGGGGCAGGGGCAAGAAGCTGTGGACCGAAGCTTGTCAGCACTGGACAGTGCTGGTCATGTTCTCACAGGATTCCCAGGGCCGCGCCCTCGAAAGGTATTTCGGCCGCTTGCACCTCAAAAGCCATGACAAGTTCTCAGCAGTTTCAATGGAGCCGTCCAAGTTCATACACAGCATGATGCTGGGTTTGCAGCGGATGGGAAATATTCAACTTCTTACCGAAGTTGTAAGCACTGCTCGCAATAGTTGCCCGTTGCCTCATAAGTATGTTCTCTGATTATGCTGTTTTCAATAAAAACTCGGCAGCATGATTGAAGTGAGTTGCGATCATCCGACAAGTCGGTGGGCATGGCCGCCAAACATAATGTATAAGCTGGGAGGAAAGATGGGTGGAGTTTCATTTCGGCATTTTTGTTGGCAGCTTTTCCGGGTTTGCAAGACTTTCCTCAGGACAACCTCGTATTTGGCGGTGTTCGCAGGGTGCACCTGCTCTTTAGCGCATTGGCAAACAAACCAATATGAGAAATAACAAGCAATGTGCGTATAAATATAATACAAATACAAATATAAATATAAATATAAATATAAATATAAACAACAAAAACACTGTACTGTCCCAAAACAACCAATCTTTTTTTGCAAAAGTGCTGTACTGTCCCAAAAAAACCAAAAAAACACTCTTTTCCAGTCTTGAAAAAGCTACCGACTGCAGGCCTTCCAAAAGATTGGTTTTTTTGGGACAGTACAGCACTTTTGCAACAAAGGATTGGTTTTTT